CCTGATTGCTCACTGTGAATTCACAGGACTATCATTTGTTTTTTCTCATATGGGCTCAGTCAGACTTAACACAAACGTTTAAACTGTTGGAATGAAAGCTTTCATTTCAGATCTTTCAGATCTTTGTGATTTTAGATAAAGAACCATTCGATATTTTCTAGAAGAGTTCAAGGCTGCAGCATCTGTGTGGCTTTAAAGTGATTGGAATGAGCTTGATGCTTTTAAAGGAATGAAATGAAAGTGGCGCTCTGGCACTAAGGACGGGTTTTTGGTCCATGCCGCCCCCTTCTCACTCTCTGGCGTCTTTGCTCCAGCTCTGTCAGCCTGATAAAGACATCGAACCTCCCTAAAAAGCTTTTAAAACTGGTTTTGGCATTGAAGGTCTAGTGATACGTTCCTGAATACAGAGCTGTCATACAGCAACTCGGATCTGCAGAGATACTGATGGCTGAGCAGCACTTACTTCAGTTTCATTACTGAGCTCTGAGCAGCTGAGTGAGACCAGCAGGACTGACAGCAGTGCAAAATGTCTAAATATTAAGAGGCAGCATGTCTGCGGGATTTGATTGATTGACATGTTGAAGCTCTGAAACTAAGACTAAGCATACAGAGTCCAGTGTTAAGATGTTGATGTTGAATTAAAGCTGCCAGAAAAGCATTTCGGTTGAGACAGAAGATTCTAGATTTCTGTTATTTCCATCTTCAGCTCATTTATATTTGGTGGTTTGTCTCCTGTGGGAGCTGCAGCGAGGGCTCAGTGGAGAACAGAGAGAGATGTGGGAGGTGGATCCACAGCAGCTCACAGATGCACAGTAACTGTTCGTAGGCTGAAGCAGTTTAAAAAAGGCACCCCGAATTATACTTTACAATTGGAAGAAGAGTGTCAGCTGACAAAACAACTGCTGTGGGCTACCACTGAGATCAGCTAACACCATGATCAGTCTGTTAAAACCTTTAGTTTCTTTATTCATTCAGGATATCTCAAGACCAGAACCTCGGAAACCAGCAGTCCATAGAGAAAGACTTGGTTAAACACCAAGCCAGGGGTTTCTGAGTCTGTCTTCATTTTGATCAAAAGTTGGGAATTTGAACATTTTTCATGAGTTTCTAACCTTGGATGCCTCCTAGACCTAAAATTTTACAAATGAAGAGTAGCGGCTTTGTGGCCACTTACTTAATGTGACATTGACAGAACGCTTTGAAGCTAACATAGCCCTCAAACGCCTTTCAGCTCTTAGATTTAACAAACTGTGCTTGGTTTGATGTTTTGAAGCTCGCTGAAGCTTTGATGAAATTTCCTAAACTCTCCACTGTCCCGATCTGTCCTGAAAGCAAACTGATGGATCTTTTCTCGGAGCTCGACGAGTCGTCCGCGTCTTCTTCCCCCACGTTGACACACAAAGGGAGGACGTCATGATTCAGGGCCGGTCATCGATCGGCACGCTGTTGTTTTTGACTCACTGCATGTGGGAGGAGGAGAGAAAACGAATGATTGCTTTCCACTCAGTCCATCGCTTCTTTTATCGCTTCACTGACACGATGTTTGTTGTGTACGTGCAAAAACATCAGAGGACTTCTGCTCGGTAAACATAATAAATGGCTGTTATTTGAGGTGCATTCACACCCGTTTATAAGGTTGTTTTATGTATTTTATGTCCGGGCAGCTTTAACAGGCGATGGTGTGAACCGACAGTGAAATGTAAAGTGTTTTTAACATAAACAGCTGCTTCTGTTTGTGGGGCTGTATTCCTGCATGAGTCAGAGTGAAGCAGGAAGCAGGGAGATTGTTTTGATTCTTTATTTTTACATCTTATTTTTCAGATCCTGCCCGGAGTTCGTATCATCATCGCCAATCCGGAGACCAAAGGACCGCTTGGAGACTCGCATCTCGGAGAGGTCGACAGACACGACCCGTTTCTTTCTTTTCTAATTGTCTTCTTTTTCTTCTTCCTGTTCTTTCTTTGTTTTTGGCAATTTTGGGGCACAATTGTTGAGCTCCTAACTCAACCTAAGAATTTATGAGCAAGAGTCCTGTGATTTATTCCATCGCTAGGCGTTCAAAGTGTGATTGGTTTATTAAAAATATTTTTTAACCGATAATTAGAAGACCAAAGAGTAAACTCAACACAGCTAATCATAAATTTTACTGGTATGCAGATCTGGGTTCACAGCGCTCATAACGGCAGCGGTTACTACAGCGGTTACGGTGAGGAGGTTCTTCAGTCCGACCACTTCAACTCCAGACTCAGCTTCGGAGACACTCAGACCGTCTGGGCCAGGACGGGCTACCTGGGCTTCCTCCGCCGCACCGAGCTCACGGACGCCAACGGAGGTTGTTTGTCTCGCCGTGTGCAACGTGTCATCGCCCTCGTCGCGCCGTGACTAACTGTGTGTCTTTGTGTCTGCTTGAACAGAGCGACACGACGCTCTGTTCGTGGTGGGAGCTCTGGAGGAGGCCATGGAGCTGAGAGGGATGAGGTACCATCCCATCGACATCGAGACCTCCGTCATCCGCGCGCACAAGAGCATCGTGGAGTGGTACGTGTAACAACAGCA